CGATACATCATCACCTTATGTGAATGCGTGAATTTGACCGTGTCAGATAACGACGACGAGGGATAGAATCCACTGTCGCTTGTCATTCGACCAATGTATATGTGTGTGTGTGTGTGTGTGTGTGTGTGTGTGTGTGTGTGTGTGTGTTTGTGCAACAACGTTTGACGTGGTGGCAGCTGAATTGACAGTGGCCAATAAATTACCATTTTGTTTACAAATTATTGTAAACTGCTAACCTACAGGCTTATACGGAGCGGTTGTAATCACTGAGGCTCAGGTGCACACGTGCGGGGTACGCCGACTATAGCAGTAGTTGTGCAGGGTGTAGGTGTGCTGGTGCGGAAGTGGGGAGGTTTTGGAGCTGTTCGACCGAAAAACTGATGTGTAGCACGAGCGGCAGTAGCGGCTGTGGCGTTATCGCGCGCCCGTATAATATATTTTAATAATAAACTTTATTCGAGGGGTTTTTTTTTTTTTTTTTAATGATACAAAACCGTTGTAATATATTACAAACAAGCCATCTATTTTCATGGTGCACGTATACCGTAAATGGATATTTTTCGAAAACGTTTACGATACCGCACCGTTCTGTTGTTACGAATTAACCACCCGAAAGCACTCCTGATATACAAACAACCGATCGTATCCAACGAAATACCGAGCTAGACCCGAAGTCCCGAAGCACACGTGTTACGTCAAATCGACGGTTTATTTTAAGCCATCTTTTTGGTCCAACACTGGTGCCGTTGCCGCCGTCGCCGCCTTCGACCAGATGGATCACAAACACAAATATTTATCAAATACATTATATATATGAAAACAAAAACAATCAATTTTCTGGCAAGTATACGAAGGCCGGTTCTTAAAATATCCGTTTAGAATAATATATCATAATGGATTTTTGCGTTTACGCCACGTACCAACGCACGACGCACACGCACAAACCATATACAACTTGACACGCGCGCTGCCATTTCGAAACGCTTTTCCTCCGACCCCGGCACCTGATAAATAAGTTTTACGATATCGTTAAACATAAATTCAAATATATTTCTAAAACCGATATCATTAAAGTAGATGCATATATACTTCCTTCGTATAGACTTTCCAACTACTACTAGTACAACGGGACACCGCTTTAACATAATCGAAGTTTTGCGATTGCTACGTGCATGACCGCTACTTTGTCATTATTGCTGGACGTTAAGTAACGATATTATTATTGATCGCATGACGATAATAATAATAATAAAAATAAAAATAGCGACAAAAACAGTATAAATAATCGATGCAATACAAATGTTTAATGTCTGATCGTTTTTTACGACCAGCGCCGGAAACGGAACGAGGGTGGGTCACGTGAAGTGGAAATTATACACTCACACACGCACATTATACACAAGCTTTAAACATGTCCACCCTTTTGCCTAGTTATGGTTCGTAGCAAGTCCTGGAAATGTGACTTGGCCGAAACCAAGTTTAAATTAGCATATTACAAGAAGACGAAGTATGGACATCACCATACCGCTGTTTGTTTTGATAGTATCGAAGTCGATTCATCCTGATTAAAATTAATAATAAAAAGAAAGAGAGAGAGAATATTACAAATAATACAGGTCATGACGCTGTACGGTAGTTTTCACAAGAGACGATATTATATACTGAAAAATTATAGAATATTATGTAAAATGGCATCGTTCGCATACGAACAAACGTCAACCAGTAAGCATAGGCTAAAACCGGTGAAACGATGCTGAAAATTTATCTCGTATGTACACGGTTTATGAACAACCAGAACAAAACTATTATTCGAAATATATAGACTTCCGTAGACTTATACTTTACGATAATATCTTTCGTTTACAGTAAGGCTTAAAATGTTATTTAAATATTTCATTATTAATCGACAGTAGAAACGACGAATGGAGCTACGAAATGCATACCAAAGCAAAAATAATGAAAAAAAAAAAACTGAATATTGTTCCGTAACAAAATTATTTCCATTATGTAAATGTAATAAGCATTTTCTTTAGTGAATTAAAATGCGGACTTTCACTCACAATACGAATAATAATAAAAAATAAAACAAAAAACGAAAATGTTAATACAAAAAGCATTCTTGGATTAACTTTCAGAGAACTCAAAATTTGTTTTCACGCACTCACTATGTATAAGTATAAGATTTTCGGATAATAAATAAAAGTGTTCGTGGAAGAATAAATAAAACAACATTAGGTGATGGAAGCACTCGAAAGTAGCGGTGAGTAAAAAAAGAACAATATTCGTATATATAAATATACATGTATTATTTATTTTCCATAAAAGTTTTGTACGGGTTTTTTATAAAAAAAAAAAAAAAAAAAAAAAAACGAAAAGGGAAACAACTTTGAAAAATTCGTATATGTGTGAATAATAGAAAAACTTTTTGCGGACCGGATTCGCATGCGTGCGTAAATACCGCGATTCGTGTATGGTAATCAGCGTGTACAGATATCATTGTGTTTTCGGATGCGAATCGTGCGCATTCGAACGACACATTCTTGTGCTTTAGACTTGTGTCGGTTCCGCTGTTTAATTGCGATAATGCTCAGCCCGAAGAGGAAACCGACGTCACGTATAAAACTCGTTTCGAATTCGAGTGGAATTCACGAACGTATTTCCATAGGTTGATCGGAATCGACGAGTTAAAAAAAGAAGACGAACGGGGGAAAAATACGATGGCACTGAACCGCGGCGGTTACGCGGAGTCCGATTAGCGGTTTACTCCAAACGAGCCGCCGTACGACGGGGGCGTGCTAGCGATTAAACGATTTATGTGATTATAACAAAAATTAGCGCTCTCGTAGATTACTTAGTTGTACCCGTATACTTTCTTGTTTCTACACCGAGACTAAAACATCAATGACGGACGGTCGTGGATTGTTTTACACAATTATTTATTATTATTTCCTCGACTGAACAATCGACTAAGAAATCGCGATCCGCCGTCTGGATGCGTTCCACGCGAGCCGAGTTATTCGTACCGTTCGATTATTGTTCAATCGTGAAAAATCATATCGTAATAAAACATTAGGCCGGCGTTGAGCTGGATCGTCATCAGTCGACTTTTTGTCGTTCGGCGTTACGTGATGTCGAACCAGTGCGCCAGCCCGGAACAATGTGTTACCTGATAAATCCCGGGAACGATACGCGCGTTGTTGTGCCGATCGTCACGACCATCTGACGGTTTTCCCTTCGTCTTCGGAGCGCCAACGTCCCGGCGGGCACTTGCACGCGAACGTACGAACGGACGACGAGTGAATGACAACGGAGAAAAAACCGTACTCGCGTTCACCGCGTGAAAATAACCGCAACGATGTGGCGCCGCCGCACGTGTAGTGGTCGAGCGCTCCAGTGTCGACGCGGACCTGCCGACCCGGGACTCCTGTGCCGGCGGTGCGACACTCGTGGTCGAGTTCGCGTGTTGCACGTTGCTTCGGAGAAGGATGAAAACAATCGCGCGATGTACTTATTATTATTATCTCGTACACATGCGTTCGAGATTGGTTTTTTTTCCCCGACCACATTTTAAACGTACACGATTTTTCGAGATCCGGTCACGAGTTTTTGCCGACTCGAGAACTGCGCGTGGTGGTGGTGGTGGTGAATCTCTCTTCTCGAAACCCGATTGATCGCTGCGGCCAAAACGATATTACGGGAACGCGCGTTTATTTCTAAGCACCGATCGTACGGCCGCGGCCCAGGTGTGTCTCGTAGAACAGCTTTTTCTCGACGTTTATAAACAAATCAAAGTAGTGGGCGATTTGGAATAAAGTATTTTCGATTTAGACTATCCGCGTTTAAAAACAATTATAAAAATCGAAAACGATTAACGAAACCGTTTTCTCGATAAGCTCGTTTATTTTTATATCCGTCTATTACTGTTGCGTTAGAGATCGTTTTCTCTTGGTACGTCAATAATGTACCGCGGTCTACGGGCACCGGCTATTGCTCGCGTCCTGTTATAGTAGTTAAATGAATCAAGGACGAGGCGTACGGAAGATTGGGCAAACATATTTTAGGCCACCTACACCAACATCAAAGGGCGAGAACTACCGGCATTAACCGTGCGCGTAATATTGTTGTACGGAACACGGCCGATGATGGTGCGCAGTTGTCGCAGCAGTGCGATACGAGATCACTTGTTTTCCGATCTAATTGCGATCGAAATAAACGTAAAAAACGAACTGGTATAATAACGCCGAGAGAGAGAGAAAGAGATGAGATCTGCGCACGAAATTGGAACGTGATGGCGTTCAATCAACTCGCCGCGGCGTAGGAAATGCGAGCGAAACTATTAAAACCAAAGGAGGTTATTCAACTGTTGCCGGCGCAGCTGCGGTGCCATCTATTTCGTGCTCGCGTGCGCGCATGTGTGATGATGAGACATCGTGCAAGTCGCGCGCGCGCTGAGCATTATAATTTATGCTGCCGGTGCCGACGTCACACACAAAACACGCGACACAGCCCGTTTTGTCCGAACGACGTGTGGGAGGCACAGGATATTGTTATTTAAATTGATGAGGTTTTCACCGTTTTTTTTCATCCCTTTCTTCTCGAGTTGCTGCACCACGGACGTTACGCGAATATCGAAACGGAATGATCCTCGCGAGATATGCCACCACCAAGAGTAGAAAACAACAGCGCGTTATTGGAATACGTTTCACGGGAGTGTTTTGTTTTTTGTTAACCGTGAGACTACTACTTAACATTTTTACAAATTTACACGTCCAAAGCGATGTAAAACGTGTACGTAATTATACAATGCACGGCCGGCAGCGGACGAATACCAAAAGGATAAATTTGAACTGAAACTCGGAACAAAAATATCTTGTCCATTTAGAACGGTATTATATTGTCGAAACAAAAACGTTAGGCGTGTCATTGTGCGCTAGTGGTACGCTTTTGTCGAACACTGTTGTGTTTATTTAAAATAATCGAATACACCGAAAACGTTTTACCTGTTCGTTTATTTAATATTCATTCGAAAAGTCGAAACTCCTCCCACGACGGAAATCCATCATCCATTGAACTCTCTTGACGGCAACAATAGGTTGAGTGATTCCGAAATTATAAATCTCGTGTTCTTCAATAGCCATCATATACAATCTCTATGCTTACGAGGGTTTTCATCGGTTAGCCATGAGAAACGCAACGAAATTTCATCGGTAAAATGTAGATCGTTTATTTTACATCACGCGGAATGCAATTACAAAGGTAGTGTGGTGCGTTTGCCGGAGCTCTGAATTCCAAGTAGAGCGATAACCGTCTGTGAAATTGAAAGAACAGAGTTAAATACGTACATAAAAATATATTATCACCACCACAACAATCATCATCATCATCATCATCAACATCTTATATGTATAGTAAACACACGAATTTGAATAGTGCCGTGTACATACCTATACTCAAGTTTATACATTAAACGAAATACCTTGGTAAAATATAATCCCTAATTTCCTCTTTTTATTCTATATATATATATATATATATATGTCCTCTCCGTATTTTGTCTTCTTTTACTTTTCTAGAAACGATTAATTTTTGTTTTCTAATGCCACTATATTAGTTTGATATTTCCCGAAAAAACATCATTATTGTTAAAATGTGTATTGTGCGAGCACTGCCGCTCTTTTCCGCATATATCGTGTGTCCTCGTCACAACATTTTATACATAAGACGATACGGAGAAAGAGAGAGAAAGAGAGAAAGAAAATTTATATTATGGTGACGTAAAACTACTTTATTATAAAATAGCCACTTATTCCGTCTCTCAGTCTTGTGTATATTGTAATATTTTTGGCTTGTTGTGCAAGAACCTATGGGTTAGGTGTTATAGCGTGCACACGTGGATGGTTCGTGGATGTATTTCACCACGCGGTCTGCTGAAAACCGAGAAACGTTCATTCAATAGTTATACCAAAAACACAAGCGCGCCTCCGCAAGCGACTCAATATTCCTGATGTAGATTTTTACAAATCAAATGTGTCGACAAATGAAATGTACGGCCGGCAATCGTACGAGCGCGCGTCTGTCACGAATACAGAATTGAAATTCAGGCGATAGCCGCCCAGTGCGCACCTAACGAGTTCGTCGTATGTTGAATTCGAGTAGAACGTATATATAACGTAACAATGCTGCAACGGGATCAGACGAGACGTAGAGTCAGTTGGCAATATCATCACAAGATTGAATTTATGTTCACCAATATATCCGAAACGAAATGAATACGCTTCCGACATCGAACACGCGACGTAACAGAGCGGGCGAAACTTTCCGGTTAACCGAAAATGATCGATCGATTTACAGCCGGTTAGCTTTCGGAAACACCAGCAGTGGCGGTGACGAAAGAAAATATTCAATGGAGACTGATGGGTAATGATATTATGTTCGATTCCCACCAAAGGCCGCTTTTCTCCTCCTCGGCCGCCTCCACTGAATCCGCCGACCAACTGTCGGTCAATCGTATCACTGAACGGATGACCACGGTTTAGTAACTATATACAATACTAGTCCTATCAAAACAACTTTTAATTAATTGTGTGGCTCACAATTATATAAACTTTGTAGACTATATAAAAATATTCATATAACTTATTATTATTATTATTATTATTATTATTATTATTATAGTGATACAATTATTTATTGACAACTAAAAATGTTCAAAGGTAAACAAGTTTAATGATCTGTCCTGACGGAACGCCACCGAAAACTGACTGTATGAAAGTGCTCAAGGGTGGTTCGGTTGGAGAGTAAGTATAAACATAGTTTTGATGTTATACACGCGTATACTATGTTGATATGGTGAGAACGTCAAAAATCGCATATGAAAATGCTATCATGGTGATCAGTTGGGTGGAGGAGGGAAATTGTTTGAAAAAAAAAACATGAAAACATCATCCTTTTACTACAACCGTACAACGACGGACAAGAAGTGGTGTTTGAAATATTGTTCTGTTAAAAATCGATAAGCTTCATGGAGAGGCGTCATCATACGAGTGTACAGTCATCGATTAAACCAACGAACAAAAAATATCAGCCTGGTGCGGCGTGGAATACAATGTTTACAGCAGTGCTTAAAATTGTGTGAATGCACTACTCCTACTACGCACTGCGTGTAGTAAAAAAAATACGCTGTGTATACGAAAACTTTTGAAAGTGTGTAATAAAATTTGTTTATACTAAAATCTATACTTTGATACCGTTTTCAAAGGGATACCATATTTCGCTAACCTAGTAGTTTTCGCCACTGGAATTATGTTCGATTAAATATGTATAGCCCTTCAAAGTCAAAAACTAGGTATCGTGTTTTTGTGTACATCGGCTCTCTCTGGACGGTCTAAAGAAATAAATCTTCGTTCTAAAATCGAACAGGACTTGAAGGTGCTGCGCGTGAAACGAAAAATACAATACTATACAGCATTTTTACTGCCAAGCCTTTAATCCGTCGTAAATAGTGAATTAATTGCAATTCGTAAAGATTATAATGTACTGTATATTATCATCTCCGTGCGGCGGACGTGCTTCGCTGTGTACACGGGAAAAATTTCGCGCTCACATAATAAGAATAATAATAATAATAATATTAATTCTAATAAAAATAGTAATAACGTACAGCGCAACTATAGGAATATAAACAACGACGGCGGCGGCGGTGGCTGGCTGCTGCTTTTGCTGTTTTCCTCCCCTCGACGAAAAATAAAAACGTGATAAGAAATAATTTATGATTAAAGTCCGTGCGCCGTACTAGACGCACTACACACGCACCGCTGCGCAACACTGGCGCGACTACTACTCCGCAGCGGCCGCGCGCAATTAAATCGCCGTACGTGACTTTTGCTCGGCGCGTTGCGAATGCCATAAAACTCCGTTTTCCTCCGTCTGATTCCTCCTCGCACAGTACACATAAAGGAGCCGATCTCGTTCCGGATTTGTGACAGCCCAGTCACACTATATTTGTCGTATAACAATAAATATTGTATTATAAATTATAAGCTGTTTTGAATACATTTTTATTTTGCTGATTATTACTACACCACGCTCGCTTTCGTTCGTTTATCGCTCATTCCAGCCACTGTTTTCGTCATTCGATTACTGCGATGATGACGGATTTCGCGAAACCGTTCGTGATCAACCGTTGTATCGTTTACGAACAACACGCGAGTGCATCATCTCGTAGTCCGGACTCGTCAGATTATCTGAACGCTTTTATATTTTGTCCTGCTAAAATACATCCTAGGTTTGCGGTTACACGTTTACACGTTCGTCGGAGAAATCGATAAGAATCATATTATTTCTTAAACCGCAACGAAAAGTGACTTTCCATTTCTGCAACATGTACACCAAGAAAATGTCTCGTTTCGTTAGTGGAAAAAATGTAATCACAAGCACCTAACCCGCACTTTAATCACTGTATGCACTGTAGAACTAAACCGTTTTAAGCACGTGAGTGGTAAAACGCATTAACGCGTAATGGTTCGAGTCACCCATGTCTTGAATTAATTTCTATTCATAATGCACTGTCTGTGATATTTTAATTGTATAGTTCGCGTTGTGCGTTGAAATCGTTAATATTTACGTAGACTATAGCTATTCAGCCGCCACAACAATTTAATAAGTTTGTTCGGAGATGGGTTTTATCTTGTTAACGGTGGCACTGCCGGTAGAACAGAGAAACCGGAAAACCTTTTGGCAGTTCAAAAACCGGAACTTCCGCATAGTCCTCGACACTTTCGTCGAACAGCACATACGCATTTCCCACTCTCGTGGCGTATTCGCGGTTGGGAAATTTAATTGAATACACATAGAAGTAAATGCCGGCAGAAGCAAACTTAGGGATGATAAGGGAGAGAGTATCTACTTAACTTTTGGCCGGATGCCGACACGTAATGAAGTTTAACTCCGGAGCTGAGCGTCTTACTTCCAAACTTTTAGTGTTCTGGTGAATGGTGACATTGACAACGAAATTTACTATAACATTTAGTGATAATATACACATTGTTTAAGTTATTATAATCCAAATATTTATAAGTATTTAAATTATTTTAAATTTAATGTTTACTATTTGTTTAAATTGTTATAATCTAAATTTTGATAATTGTAAAAAAGTTAACGGAACGTACATACACATCAATTGTCCATGTGTATAAATAACTTGTATTTCATACATTGAATCACGATTATCATGGTATATTACTATAATATGGATTTAATATTTTTTAAATTATTACTTATGAATATATGAATGCAAATTAGTATACACTCCACACAGTTTGAACTTGGGATGGAATGTATAATTAATCATAGTTATTAATTTATTCGAAATGTAAAACTGATCGTTCGGATTTCTTTAGTAATGCATTTTTATCGGAACTAAAAAACAACACAATTATTAATACATAAAAACAGATTTGAAGTGTAAGTATAACATTTAGAGATTCAGAGGGTTACAAAAACATGAATTATAATGACAGGGGCATGCCTAGACATTTTTTCGAGGTGTTCAATAATTTTCCTACCATGTGTTTAAAATGTATTTATTTTACAAGATTATAATTTTGGCAATAATTAATTTTGTAGAACTAGATAGATCGATGATGAATTATATAAATAAGCTTGACAAATGTTTATTATATTAAACTTAAATTATATAAAAATATTAAGTATTATGTTTTTCATAAACGCGTTAAAATTTCGGTGGCAGGGTGTTTTGAACCCCCAAAATCTCCTCTAGGCACGTACCTGACTAATGGTTCGATGTTTTCAATATTGTTATTTTTCAACAGTATACAAAGGACGGGGTTTTTAAATTAAAAATCAAGTGGTCCCGTACACGATATAATTAATACAAGAATTAATACGTTCCGGAAAACTGGAGGTATTGAGTGGCGATGATACTTATTATATTGATTTACTATACGAAAAACACTACTCGGTATAATAAAGGACTGCAGACCCCTGGGGACTACTAAACAGGGCATCTTGATAATAATCGAGCCAGTCTGGCGACACTGCTTTTATATTAATTGGGAAAATAAGAAACTTTCCGCACACGCAAACATAAAAAGCATACAGAAAGTGGATATATACATATACTTCGAGAGACCTTTTTAATTAAAGATAAAGTCTCGAAATACTGATGGAGAGACAGTGATAGAGAGTGAGAGGGTAAGGTAGTGACGATGGTGAAATGAAGGTTGCGTGACAAGTTTTAACCGTTGGAGCTTGATTTTTACCACGTTCGAGTCTTGATTGATGAGAGCC